ATATAGTTTATATAGGGAAATAACACTTTTCGGTATATATTTTATCCATTTTCAGCAGAAAATTGCTCAAACTTAGTCAGAATCATCTTGGGTAAATGAGAGTTTTACTTTGTAAAATTAGGATTCCTGCCCCATCCCCAGGGGCTAGGGCGGGGCCCCAAAGGGAACATTTACCAATATTTTCAAATTCTTATCCATTGATGACATGACAAGTATTGTATTTCACTTAGTTTACATGCTGATTTCCACATCACATCTAAACAATAAAATAAAGCTACCAGTATCTATGATATAACTCAGGTGACCGCTAAGGCCCTTGGGCCTCTTGTATTGTCCTTCATAGATGAACCTGTCATTCAGTTTTGAGCTTCACATGCATCTGTAATGGACCATACAAATATTTAATATGTTCTGTTGAAATGTCAGTTAACTACGATAAATTGATTCCTTGGACTTTTTGCCTGCAATGTGAAACATGCCAGTGAATAAGTAATACATTATTTTTCTAGAAAAACCCTGAAATTTTTGTATGCAGACTTTTCGTTTTTTGATTCACACAATGAAGAAATATTAAGGGCAAGCATTGCCAATGAAAACGCAATCAATTTGTCTTGAAATTGACAGTAGTATTATGGTATTGTGTTTGTCTTGACATTGACAGTAGTATTGTGGTGTTGTGTTTGTCTTGACATTGACAGTAGTATTGTGGTGTTGTGTTTGTCTTGACAATGACAGTAGTATTGTGGTGTTGTGTTTGTCTTGACATTGACATTATTATTGTGGTGTTGTGTTTGTCTTGACATTGACAGTAGTATTGTGGTGTTGTGTTTGTCTTGACATTGACAGTAGTATTGTGGTGTTGTGTTTGTCTTTATTGTGCATGCTTTGTTATCAATCTTTTCTGAAATTGTTTTTAACTCTTCAAAGATTTTTCCAGACACAGTTATAAGTTTTCAAATAATTGTCGTTAAATTGCTGTTGGAAGTAATAAGGCCATGTCAGATTTGGAGATACAGGACGGAGGTTGGTAAAGAATCACTTTTATTAATGATGTGGGGTGGTAGGGTCCAAAATGATGGTTTAATGTGTAGCGAGTGAAAAATAAGTTATGGGTGAATGGGGTCAGAAAAAATGAGTGCCTTTTTGCCCCTCATATATCACGTATAAAAAGCTTTATTTAGATAATCAATAAGGAAACTAGAACATGATATATAGAGAGAGAGACAGAAGAGGGGAGATGGGGAAGAGGATGAAAAGAGAAAGGAAGAGGAAAAGAGAGGGAGAGGTAGAGAGGGAAAAGGAGGGGACTGAAAGAAAAAAAGAAGGAAGAGATACTGTAGAGAGAGGGAGGATGCAGAGATGGAGAGAAAGAGGTGGGTGTGGGAGGAGGGGTGTGAGAGAAGGAAGAGATACTGTAGAGAGAGGGAGGATGCAGAGATGGAGAGAAAGAGGTGGGTGTGGGAGGAGGGGTGTGAGAGAAGGAAGAGATACTGTAGAGAGAGGGAGGATGCAGAGATGGAGAGAAAGAGGTGGGTGTGGGAGGAGGGGTGTGAGAGAAGGAAGAGATACTGTAGAGAGAGGGAGGATGCAGAGATGGAGAGAAAGAGGTGGGTGTGGGAGGAGGGGTGTGAGAGAAGGAAGAGATACTGTAGAGAGAGGGAGGATGCAGAGATGGAGAGAAAGAGGTGGGTGTGGGAGGAGGGGTGTGAGAGAAGGAAGAGATACTGTAGAGAGAGGGAGGATGCAGAGATGGAGAGAAAGAGGTGGGTGTGGGAGGAGGGGTGTGAGAGAAGGAAGAGATACTGTAGAGAGAGGGAGGATGCAGAGATGGAGAGAAAGAGGTGGGTGTGGGAGGAGGGGTGTGAGAGAAGGAAGAGATACTGTAGAGAGAGGGAGGATGCAGAGATGGAGAGAAAGAGGTGGGTGTGGGAGGAGGGGTGTGAGAGAAGGAAGAGATACTGTAGAGAGAGGGAGGATGCAGAGATGGAGAGAAAGAGGTGGGCGTGGGAGGAGGGGTGTGAGAGAAGGAAGAGATACTGTAGAGAGAGGGAGGATGCAGAGATGGAGAGAAAGAGGTGGGTGTGGGAGGAGGGGTGTGAGAGAAGGAAGAGATACTGTAGAGAGAGGGAGGATGCAGAGATGGAGAGAAAGAGGTGGGTGTGGGAGGAGGGGTGTGAGAGAAGGAAGAGATACTGTAGAGAGAGGGAGGATGCAGAGATGGAGAGAAAGAGGTGGGTGTGGGAGGAGGGGTGTGAGAGAAGGAAGAGATACTGTAGAGAGAGGGAGGATGCAGAGATGGAGAGAAAGAGGTGGGTGTGGGAGGAGGGGTGTGAGAGAAGGAAGAGATACTGTAGAGAGAGGGAGGATGCAGAGATGGAGAGAAAGAGGTGGGTGTGGGAGGAGGGGTGTGAGAGAAGGAAGAGATACTGTAGAGAGAGGGAGGATGCAGAGATGGAGAGAAAGAGGTGGGCGTGGGAGGAGGGGTGTGAGAGAAGGAAGAGATACTGTAGAGAGAGGGAGGATGCAGAGATGGAGAGAAAGAGGTGGGGTGGGAGGAGGGGGTGTGAGAGAAGGAAGAGAGCATAGACAGAAGAAATGAAACGGTTTAATAACCTGTATAATATCACATTTCCATGTGAAGAGGTAGGCCAAGAAAATAAATTACTGTCTAAGTGATATCGAAAATAAATTTGCCTTGAAAATAGGCTGGCTTCGAAAATAAGCTTGAGATTCTTTACTGAAAATGAAAATAAGCTGCAACTTACTGTGTTGAGATTTTAGGGTATGTGAGAGGTCATGACCTTTCGTGATATGTAAGGTATTGCTATCAATAATTAATGTTTTGTATCCTGACTATAATATACTCAAATAGTAGTGTCGAACCCGGTGCATCAAACTGCATTAAATGTGCAACAAAACTTGATGATGGCGTATTCAGAATGAATATTATTAGTGTGTGAGCTGTCTAGCTAACAGCTAAATTAAGACAGATTTATCTTTTCTCATGTAAAACCAGGAATGCCCATGTGGGAACAGAAAGAATAATAGGATAATCTGCCCATAAGTACGACTACTGCAATAAAGTTACAGCTTGGTTATACATGTATGATAACTTGTTAATGCTTTCAAAGAGGGGGCAGTAGCGACCAATATCCTGTCTAATCTGTTGCTGTCAAGATCATATTGATAAGTTGCAGGGGATTTCAAATAATTCTATATCTAATACATGTACTCTACCAGAATTCCATTTTTTCGCAATGAATGTCAAAATTGAGATGTAGTCCCATTGGAAGTTGTCATTACGAATGCCCTCAGTAATAGTTATACAGTAGGTGAAGTAATAATTTTAGAGAAAAAATACTATGCATACTTCAGGTCGAAGCACCACCCTCAGGAGATTCCCAGATGGAAATTGATTGATAATGTGTAATCCAATATTTTGATTATCATGGAATGTTTTGTACTCCTGCTTCATTGCATCATTTACAAAAAAATGAATGAA